GGTCACAACCGGCCGCACGGGCTCTTACGGCCTGTTTTCGTCCAAATTTTGCGCAGAATCTCACGTGCAACGCAAGTCCTTGCGAATTTTGGAGTTCGCAGACAACCCGTATCACCCTGAGCTTCAGAGATAACTTGACACTAACCTCTTAACTATAGCCTATCTTCATCGTGTCAAGTAACTTGACACGATGAAGATAGGCTATATAGTGAAGAGGTTAGTGTCAAGTTATCTCTGAAGCTCAGGGTAACCCGTATGCACGTACGGAGGATGTTGGACATGTTACGCATTACACAGTATCATACCCTGAACAAATTTTGAGTGGTGATGCAATGCTTTTCAACCCCGCTGAGAATCGTCCCTATCACATCGCGTACTAGGCAAGAGCGGTGTCGCGTCTGATACTGTGAAATGCGTACTGATACACACCTTGAAAACGGGTAGTGTGGTCCGATTTACCGGTGAATTCAGGATCATTCGGTGGCGAGTCTGGTAGTTGGGTAGGCCTGAAAGTCGAAAGCACCGCGGAAGCACGTGCGTTACGCCAGGAGCATACAAGGTGTACTCACGCCGCACGCTCGTGTCTCGACAATTAACGACTATTGTGCAACCTATACAACAATTTTCAAAAATTTCGAATTTTGCTTAATTCAGCTTCTAATATGCCCCCAAAAAGCAAGAAAAAAAATTAGAGTCTGAATTCAATCCAACCAATGATATTGCCCATCCTAAAAACAATACCAACAAAATAAAGGCAATATTTCTACCCTCGTTAAACGAGAAGATAATTTACTCTTTGCAAGAGGAAATTATTGAAAGGCACCTTGTAATTCGACTTTCATACAAGAATTATCATAATATTGTAGATAAAACTAGAAAAGCACTCCGAGAGCGCAGACCTCCGCCAAGGCAGCGATTTTTGATTATTATTGATTATTGATTGATTATTGATCCGGATCACCACCAAAAACTAATCATCTGTTCCTTGGCCCACTTCTGACAGTTCCTGAAAATTTCATCAAAATCGGTCCATAACTTTTTGAGTTATGTCGATGACAAACAAACAGACAGACATACAGGGGCGAAAACATAACCTCCTTGGCGGAGGTAACTATTAGCCTCAGCTGTTTTCGCTATTCCGTTGTGAATTATGAAAACTAATTTTAACTACCTCCATGTGGTCAAGAAGACGCGATCTTACTAAGTATCTATTTAAGTGCAAAACTTAAGACTCATTTCATAAAATGTTTCTTTGCTTTTGCTTTTAAAAGTACAATTATTGAATGTCCCCTGCTCTACAAAATGTCTATAGATAAACCAGGACGATATCTTGACTCTCTCTGTGCGACGGTTCATTTAGGTTTATATTGCATTATAAAGATTAATATTTAACGATTTAAATTCTCAGTGAACTACAACGTTCTTATTGCAAAATGGTGCTTTTGCGACCTGAAGTTTCTTTCTAGCGATGCTTAAAAAACACTTTAATGATATTGTATTAGAATCGTGTGGCAAAAAATGGCGCTAAAGGAAAAAAAAGCATTCTTCAGAGTCTGAATGAAAAAATTTCAATTTCAGTTTTTTTTTTAACTATTAAGAAACCCCTGATGCTGATTTTTCTGTTGTTTTCATAAACGTAGTTTTTAGATAGTAGTTCAGATGAGGGAGATCTGTTTGAAATCGTTTTTACAGTTTTCACCCCAAAAATGCTGCTAAAACATTGCCAGCACGAATGAACATTTTCTCATAATATTACCATATTTATTTTTGCATTATCTAAAGCGGGTAAGGAAATAAATCCTTACCTATCGAATCCCATAAAACGTGGAGTCTTTAAATACCCCACCTTCAATAATTGGCAACCTCGCGCAAGTATCTATCTTATTATTTTCTCAATTCATCGTGCCGCTCAGTCGTCAAGGTGTTCCTGCTCGAGCAACTCAAGGTGACTCCAGCCCTTGCCACCAGCACCAACCAATTATTAAACCGAGCAAGTAATTTCTTCCTCTCCTCCCAACTTCCTTTCTTCCAACTATAAAATGTAAACTTATGCGGTACACTTAAGTTTCATGGAAAGCGAGCGTGAATTCCTAGTAACGCATATAAACCACTTTTATTAGTTTCTTGTACAACGAGAATAAAGTCGACATGTCAAGCCATAAACAAAATTAATCCCTCGTTCAGACCAAAACAGTTTAAAAAAATAAATATAAAAAATAAAATAAAAAAGCTGCACCTTCTTTAATTCTGGTCGGAAATTGACATAGTTATCAGTTTGTAAAAATCGGCTAACTTGCTTAGTACTGCTTGCGTACCGGGTATTGCATAATCATAACTCTCATTCCCCTTGATTCCTATGCATGGAATAAGCAGAAAGTATCCGTTCAAATGTCATTATTCGGGAAATGTGAAACGACGTCTTATATCATTTAAAACTTTATCGTGGCAATTGGTCGGGTTCTGTGTAAAAAAAAACTACCTACAAATGCTGTGTTTAGAACAGCCTACCCGCCCTTTATACATAAGTTATATCGATTAATTGGATTTCTGTTGGTAATTCATATGTAACTCATATTAATTTTGATATAGCCCTGTAGCGAACTTTTTTTTTTACATTTGAATCTTTGTAAGTTTTAGTTTTCTTTAAGCCATGATATGTTTTTTAAAAATATTTAAAAATATTGTTCTGTGGTCCTTTTTAGTTTTGATCAACACTATAGCACGCGAGGGCTATACTGATAAGCAAAGTCAAGGAAAGGCATATGCTGTTCACTGGATCTTGGTTTAATTTCACATAGGAATTCACAAGACATGTAACAACATTTCTGCCATTCCTTAAGCTATAAATTTTAAGTAACAAAACAGAAAATAACTGGTCAGAAAGAAAGAATATACTATGTGTTCCTTTTACGGAGACACTGAGTTGAATGAAATCATGGAAATGAAATGTCCAAACTAATATTTAGAGTATCCCTAAACTTAAAGATATCACTCATGCAAATGTACGTTGCATCAGATGTGCTGGATCACCCGGCTCCTCAAGCACAACAAAAGAAAAGCAATATAATAAACCTTACAAACAGAACGGAGATCTCTCGATCTCCGCTTTCCTTTTGCAGGCCTTCTAGATCCCTACTTCACTATCTTTTATTTCAAAATAAAATGTATATCTAAGAAAATACTAAATGCCTAAGTTCATCATGCATTTAAAAGATTTTAATTCGGCCTATACGATGGACAAATGCATAGCGAAGGTAGGCCTTCTTGCACCAAATGATTAGTAATGATTTCACTTATAACTTCTTACACGTAAAAAGACACGTTTACATGTAATGCTTTTCTCTTTTAAAATCCATAATTGATAATATTCAGGCCCGTAGCCAGGGGAGGTTCGGGGGGTTCAAAAGAACCACCCTTTTTGGTGGGAAAAGGTCCACTCTGGGTAAAATTTGATCTATGTACTTGAGGATTTTATGGTAAAAGGTCCACTTTTTCAGAAAACGCCCCCCTCTGAAATTGCTGGCTACGGGCCTGATATTAATGAGATGTTTGGGCCGAGCCCCGAGGCACGTTCGGTGCGTTACAAAACGTGCCGACTTGAGGGGCTGAACGTCGCCCAAGAGTGACAGTTATAATTATTCATTTTCTGTCCTAAAAAAGACTAAAATTTCAATTCATTCGGCATTTGAAAAAGAGGTTTCGCCATAGGAAAGACCAGGCTAGTTGGCCAAGTTAGGCACTTTTTTTCTTTGTAGAGTCCAGTGGGAATGAACAAAACCGCGATTTCAGAACAAGCGCCAAGGACTTATACATATGCAACGTCATTATTTTGCTAATAAAATGCCATATTGCTCACAATATGACAAAAACCACAACTGAGGGCACTAGCTTATGAACATATATGGTTTAATTATTTTTAACTAAGTTACTTTTAATGTGGAAAACTTGCATTTGGACTCATTTGGCTTTAGTAAAACCTTTTTACGCTTTCCTGACATTTTTGTAATCGGTCACTGGAGAAGATTGGCCTATGTGATCAATTTTTTGACCTCGTAGGTTCTTTTCAGACTTTGCTGAGTGCAATTTATGATCACAGTGAGCGGTTATTTAATATACCAGTAGGTCTACTGACTGCTTAAATGAATCTCTGCTGCACAAAAATGCAAAATGCAAAATCGACCTACCCACTACACTAAAAATATTCATTAAATGTGTTTACCTGTTCATCTGTTTACTCTACCTTTACCTGGAGAATAGGTGGTTATACTTTGATTAGATATTCAATTATACTTTATCTACTTGTACTCAATGAAAAAGGAACAGGCCTAACACCCCATTTCCATAGATTTTTAGATCGATCTATCCCTGTGGGGAGTCTCACTAGATTACTGTCAGCTTGGCCGGCTTAAGCGTCTGTCCCGCCCACTAAAAGCTGTAAGTGGGTAATTAACTATGGTGCCCGCTCGGCTGACTGCAATTTAGTGTGAACCCCCAGGGAGTAAGGTCGATCTAAATCTTAATCTTTAGATCGATCTAAATCTCTGGGAAAGCACCCTAAGTTATAAAGTAACTTGTTTGATGATGAAGTTGTAGGCCTATTATCACTTAAATATAAATAAAATGGATGAAATGTTTTGAACTTTATACTCCTTACTTTATATTTGAATATAAATATATATATTCCTTTTTTTTTTATTTGGGGGGGGGGGGGGATTGTCATGGGGGCAATTGTCCGGGGGTGGGGGTGGGGAATTGTCCTGGAATTCTCCCCAACATAGGCAGGACAATTGTACCGGCAGAATGGGAGAAATATTGGTATCAAATAATTTTCTCATAAGTGATGTGCTAACAAAACTCTGTAGTGGAAAACTCTTAATCATACCGAAGAACGCTTTTGTGGCACGTAAAAGTTGGAGCTGTAATAATCCGCAATCAGAAACACCTTTGTTGGACAACGAATATGACGTCATATACACTGAACATCATGATTGGATTATAAGTGGTCACACCTCCTGCTCAAGGTCACTTGCAACGGAGGTCAAGCTGCGTGGAGGTAGCTGCTTTATATTAATGAACTAATTTGACTGTGTTGTGCCAGTTGTATATCAGTTTCAACTTTATAAAGCAGCCCTAGGTAGTACACATCTTCAGGAAGTAACAATGTTTCGAGCTGTGACCAAGAAAATAGCAAAGACTGCGAATAAAAACAGCCTGTTCTCGCCAGTGCAAAATGGCCGTCGTTTATTTACAACTACACCAATGCGGAATTCTGAAACTACAGCTTCAGACAGTGTTGGTGGTGATGACAAGGAACCAAGCTTTTCCGACATGGTAGATGTTTTTTTCGACAAAGCTGCAAGTCTAGTGGAAGACCAGTTGGTGGAAGAGTGGAAAGGAAGGCTGACACCAGAAGAGAAAAGAAGTAAAGTACGAGGAATTTTAAAAATCATCAAACCCTGCCACCACGTTTTAAATATTACATTTCCTATCAAACGAGACAATGGAGAATATGAAATGATTGAAGCCCACAGAGCTCAGCACAGTCAGCATCGGACGCCATGTAAAGGAGGTAAAGGCATTCATTCCTTTTAACAGTATTTCTGTGAATACGTCTGCCCCATAGAATCAGACATAAAGTTAGCAAACGTCATGTCAACTCCTTTCCAATGTAAGTGATACAATCTCATAACAAGTTTGCCATTTGAATGACTTTGTAAATAATTACTGGAGAAAAGGCAATGTTGGGGCATTATCTCCCCTAAAAACCTCATTTTGGTCTTCTTGAATGTTTGCAGACTTAAATTGCTCATTAGAGTGTTTCACTTCTGTTATTTATCTAAATAGGTGACTGTGGTTTACTTCATCAATAAAAGGAATTTGTACTTCATCTTCAATCACTATAGTGTTTTCAGTAATACCTTATCCCGTGAATGAAAATAAATAATAGGTATTTGGGTGCTGACAGTATGAATATAGATGCTTTTTTTATCATTTTTAAATTATTTTTCATCAGGTAGATTTAAAACCCATATTGTCACTCTCTCTTTATGTTTATCCAAACCATCCCACTTTTTAAAAATCTACGAACAGTACAACGATGTGTAACACTTCTATATGGTATCTATAAGTGTATGTAAATCGAACGAAATGACACTCCCAAAACAGGAAAAAAAAAGTTCTAGATTTTACATGCAATGCTAAATGTCACTTAAATGATACATGTGTAGGTGTAACATTTGGTACACACCCTTTAAATATCCTTAATTTATTATGCATCTAGACATAAACAATATATTTCTGTTGGGCAGTGTGTGTGCCTGTATGTGCATTTATATGGTTGGTCAAATGCTGTTGAAGGTTATTTTGCGCATGTACTCCCACTGACTTAAGGAGTTGGATTGAATTCATTACCTTTTATGGTGTAGTTAACCCCAGTTTTACACATTGTTAGTGTCAGCTGTTATTTGCTGTAAATCAGGTTGGTTTGAAATGTGTATATATGCATATGTTATCAAATGGTACAATGTCACTGAATAAGATATTGGTCACAACTGTTGGGAGGGAGTTTTTTTAAAACAGGCAGACATACATAATTGCAGTGACACACCTATCATACCTAATTTAGTTAACATTCCTTCACATCTATCAGGCTAATACAATTTTTTGCCCAGAAAATGTTGATATGATTATCCGAAGTTCCATAGCTGCCAGGGGGGCAGTTTCTTCAGTATCAGCATGCATCAACATGTCCTTGTGCCAAATAAATTCTTTTATTCTCCTGACAGTGATGTTTAATAACAATCCACATTGACCTTGTAGCTTGCTTTCAAGACACTGACATTTATGAAAAACTTGTCAGGTATTAGTATAAAGAAAGTTTAGGAGTGCAACACATTAAAAAATTTATCTCAAATTGAGTAAATCATGGAACTGGTTTGCAAAAAAACTATATCTTTTATTAATCCTATTTTAGGTTTGCACATATTTGCTCAAAGGGATAAATATGTTTCCATTTTTTTATTCCTTTCCTCATTTTAAACTCAAAAATGATAGATGCATATGGAGCCTCTGTTTACCTGAATGAAAAATTCTCAAGCTTTATTTTTATTTTTTAATTGGATTCTGTTTTGCTGCAGGTATCCGTTTTAGTCCTGAAGTCAACATTGATGAGGTGAAGGCCCTGGCTGCTTTGATGACCTACAAATGTGCTGTTGTGGATGTACCATTTGGTGGGGCAAAGGCTGGAGTCAAGATTAACCCTCATGACTACTCTGAGAATGAACTGGAAAAGATCACAAGGAGGCTGGCAGTGGAACTGGGCAAGAAAGGATTCATTGGTAAGACTTACACCACAGTAAGGGACTGTTCCCATAACCCTATCATACTAGCTGGATCAGTCTAACTCTATGGGGTTTCTTGCTAAATTGCATTCAGTTAAGCAGCGTGAATGCCTGGTCTGCCCCTTTTAACTTAAAGTTCTTAGGTAAAGTCAGGAAAACTTTGCTTTCACGATGTTGTTTATGTTGCTTAGCGAGGCTGCATTACGGAAAATTAAGTTGATTACATTTACTACGCCTTACTTAGTGAGAATCTCTGCTGAGATAGATCATTCCTGCGGTGCTAGTATGATAAGGTGATGGGAACGCATGTGTGTGAATGGTCTCTCTGCCTCTCACACACCTCCCCAGGCGTCGTCCCTGCAGGGGCACAGTAATTAAATCTCGGCTCAATTCAACTGGTCGTGGGAAGGCGTGTGAGAGGCGGAGAGACCATTACAGGATTAGCAGTCTTCCTTTAATGTAGGTCCGCCATATTTAGGTTGCTGCCTTAGGCCACACTTTTTTATTTTTATGGATGACATCCTCTGAGTACCCCAAAATCGGTGCGAGAGGGCGAAAAAAAAAAAAAACAGTCCAAAAAAAAAAACTGCTTAAGTAAAGGAATGCTGTCAGTACACAGCTGGAAACACAAATTTAACCACAGAAACACGTTTCAGACTAACAATATGTCTTTATCCATGCTCTCAAAATATTAAAGCATTGTGAATACTTCGTAGAAATGTAAAAAAAGTCATGAATTGATATACTTCATATTACCAAATCTATTTAAGGTTATTTCATGCATTCATTTGGTATAGCAATCAATAAAACAAATATCAATCAAACAGTGTGTCTTTATTTGTATTCTCAGAATATTAAAACATTTTGAACACTTCACAGAAATGTTTAAAAAATGATGCAAAGATATGCTTAATACTACCAAATCTATTAAAGGTCATTTCAGACGATGCCATTTTGTCAACTTCAACTCACACGAAGCAGCTAAACTGTCAGGTGGCCTGTCCGACCTTCAGCCCACCAAATACCTCGACGCCCTTGTCGACCCTTTTTTCGCTACAGAAAACCTGGTATTAATGTGCTGCTTTATACAGAATGTCACAGAAATGTTTCGGCCGCCGCCAGCCTTTCGCACAATTGTAAAAAGGTGATATCTCCATGCCCAATATCAATGGCATACCAATCCAAAACGATGGCGCCCGTTCTCTTTATGACTTTTATTGTTGTGTAATTTGAAAGTAATCCTAGAGATGAATTTGACAGCAAAGTGGCCGCATTTCCACGTGGCGAAAATACGCATGCGCAGAAAGCTCATTTCCTTGCAAATTCAATAACAACGTTTGCGACAACCGACTTCGTTGGGGGCTGGGGGGCTTTTTTTTTGGAGAACGGGCGAAAATCCATGCGCGCGCAGGATGTCATCCATAAAATTAAAAAAGTGTGGCCTAAATTCATATTTTCCCAGGCTCGAAAGCACCTGGGTATTATAACCCTGGCGTTTTCATTGATCCACACCGTGCTTGCCCTGCCCCAATACGACCTGGCCTACCTGAGCGACTATTACTATGAAGTGGAGATGGTGGACGTTGTACGACGCGTCAATGCCTCAGACCTCGTCACGGCATCCATTCCCATCGCTGGGAAGATGAATTGGAAAGGTAAACTTTATCTGATGGACAATTCATTTATGACGTGTCATATTCAATGAATATTAAAGGGATAATAACTCTTCGTATGAGACCTATATTTCACGATAAAAACCTTGTGAATAACTCATAGAAATATAATATATTCTGTTTTACCACAAAAACAGCAGTTATAGCTTTTATTCTGATATTTGAACTTGTCTTTAGACCACGTGACCTCCATTGATGTCTATACTCTGTTAAAATCTCTTAAGAGATTTTAACAAAAAAACAAACTTTTTAGAAAAAAACCAGGGACTAACTTTGAATGTAAAAATGGATTCAATAACCATTGGTAAGTATGGAAAAATTGTTGTTTACTCCAGGAAAATTCATTTNAAAAAAAAAAACTGCTTAAGTAAAGGAATGCTGTCAGTACACAGCTGGAAACACAAATTTAACCACAGAAACACGTATCAAACTAACAATATGTCTTTATCCATGCTCTCAAAATATTAAAGCATTGTGAATACTTCGTAGAAATGTAAAAAAAGTCATGAATTGATATACTTCATATTACCAAATCTATTTAAGGTTATTTCATGCATTCATTTGGTATAGCAATCAATAAAACAAATATCAATCAAACAGTGTGTCTTTATTTGTATTCTCAGAATATTAAAACATTTTGAACACTTCACAGAAATGTTTAAAAAATGATGCAAAGATATGCTTAATACTACCAAATCTATTAAAGGTCATTTCAGACGATGCCATTTTGTCAACTTCAACTCACACGAAGCAGCTAAACTGTCAGGTGGCCTGTCCGACCTTCAGCCCACCAAATACCTCGACGCCCTTGTCGACCCTTTTTTCGCTACAGAAAACCTGGTATTAATGTGCTGCTTTATACAGAATGTCACAGAAATGTTTCGGCCGCCGCCAGCCTTTCGCACAATTGTAAAAAGGTGATATCTCCATGCCCAATATCAATGACATACCAATCCAAAACGATGGCGCCCGTTCTCTTTGACTTTTATTGTTGTGTAATTTGAAAGTAATCCTAGAGATGAATTTGACAGCAAAGTAGCCGCATTTCCACGTGGCGAAAATACGCATGCGCAGAAAGCTCATTTCCTTGCAAATTCAATAACAACGTTTGCGACAACCGACTTCGTTGGGGGCTGGGGGGGGGGGCTTTTTTTTTTTTTTTTTTGGAGAACGGGCGAAAATCCGTGCGCGCGCAGGATGTCATCCATAAAATTAAAAAAGTTTAGCCTTACTAGCACTCGGCTCTTCTCGATCTGAATGGTCCCTTCATTGATCCTCTTATGTCACATTCATTGATCCACATGAGCATTTATTAACCTGTAACCAATGATTTCTGTTATGTTTATCGCATGGGAATTTCAAAATTTTTTTGCAAAGCAGAACTTATTTAAGGAGCAAATATATATATATATATATATTCCTGTGAATGAAAAGGGCTTGCAGATATTATATCAAACTGATGGCTACTTATGAAGGGAGCTGGATAAGTCTAGTGAACTAAATGGGGGAACAGAATTGTGATATGTAAATCAGTATGACACATGAGTAATTGATATATTCATGATGCTTAATAGACTAGGAAGTGTATGGAGTGCATTGATGAAATATAATGAAGAAACCAGTTTGAAAGGATACTGCAGTTGAACCAATTGATTAACAGTGATGTTTAACACCTGTTAAAGACTGCCTGTCCCATGATGGATTGAAAGACAAATTTCAATGAAATGAAATTATTAAAACTAGGAATATTTAAATACCTTTGTGTGATATTGTGCAAAAGTTGTGATGCAGTGTGATGCAGAATTTTTGACGGATTTTTTTTAAAGAAATAAAAGAAAGATTATTCTTGTGAAAATTGTTCTGTATTCTTTAATAAAAAATCAATGTTTATATTGAGTGAATCATCATATGTGTGAATCATCATAAATGATCTGAAGAAGAAATAGAATTTAAATATACTTTACTTTGAAACCTTATTGTGGAATGTTTTGTTCCTCTTAGGTCCTGGTGTTGACGTTCCAGCCCCTGATATGGGCACAGGAGAAAGAGAAATGAGCTGGATTGCCGATACGTACAGTAACACTATAGGTGAGCACGTGATAGTAAGAAAAATAGAGTACACAAAAGATCTTATCTGGATTACAGAAATTGTATATTAGTGGCAAGTGTATGTGTCAGGGCTTTTCCTAGGGTTTCAGGGAGTTAAACTACATCAAAAATGTTGTGATAGGGGGTATTCCACCATTTTCATTTCAAAATTGAAATAATGCTTTTAATCATCAAAGAAATTCTTGGAATGAGCCAGTAGAATTAACAGTTAAGACTGGTTATACATGCACGATTGTGTGAACTAATTTAATGAACCAGTCTCAACCAGATATCCAAGAAACAAGAACAATATACCAGTTTCAGTGAGTTCCCTGACAGCAGTCGAATTATGTAGGGCTGGTAATCTGATGGGGATCTCACTGCTTTATAAGACAGTACAGTGGCCCAAAAAGAAAAAATAGGCACATCAAAAAATCCTCTCCAGCCACCTGTTTTGACAAATCATGCCATCATAACTGCAAAATTAGCTTTCAGGCTATCATTGAAAGTGCTGTCTTTTGAGGGAAGTGGCCATATCATGTAAATGACGCCTGAATGGCTCTTTGGGGAAAGCTTTGATGTGTGTGTGTGTGTGTGTGTGTGTGTGTATGTGTGTGTGTAAAAATAAGGCATTTTAAAAGAATGAATACAAGTAGAACAGAATCCAAACATTGACACCCATTATTCAAATATATTTATTTCATTAGTTTGGACATACTGCAGTTACACTAAAATGATCATTTGGTCAGATTGGAATTACAGTAAAACCTTTGTATGAAGGTGGAACCTAATTATCATTAATGCATTCTACAGTTGGTGCAACTTGTGGTATATTTGAATTTCTGAGACTTCCTTTGAATTCTTGTCCTCTGCAGCTGTAGCTTATATGATGAGAATATATCTGCCAGGTATAATGTATCAATCTATATGTATATAAAAACTTGTACTTGCTAGGTGATGTCAGTATATATATATATATATATATATATATATATATATATATATATATATATATGACATTTTGGCCAAATACAGTCACTGGATGCCGAAAGATAATCAGCAGCTTTGTAGATATACACATGTATCTTGTGATTTAATGTAAATAGTTGATTGTAATCTTAAAGTTTAGACATTTATCCTGTTCTGTTTGTTTGTTGGGTTTTAAGATAAAACTGTTAAAACAGTTGTATCTGTAGTTTTCGATTCACTTATCCCTTTCGATCTATCAGTCTTATCCATTTTATTATAGATTTATTTAGGTTAATATTGGTTGTAAATTATTTATTCAGGTCACACCGATCTCAATGCAGCTGCCTGTATCACAGGAAAACCTATTACTCAAGGAGGCATCCATGGCAGAATCTCTGCTACTGGCAGGGTAAGTGACAGAACAAACACCAGTGTCTCCATTGGCTACCTTACATCTTTTACTTACCTAACAACGATGATTTATGAAGACACACTTTCTCCTTAATGACGATTACTAAGTTTTTATATCAGAATTCACTGACCAGAGATAAAATGAATAATGAATGATTAGCTATGGTTCACATTATTTATCCCAATTGTAAACTGACAGTGTTATCCATCATCTCTGCAGGGTGTATACCATGGAATTCAGAATTTCATCAATGAGTCTAGCTATATGAGCACGATTGGCCTGACTCCAGGCTTCAAGGACAAGACTTTCATTATACAGGTAAATTTGATTTTAAGTCACCAAATTTGACAAAGTTCTGAGTAAGATGCATTTAGAATGTTTAACCAAAAATTAATCGGCCCTTCTTGGTCTGCCTTGAGAGTGGTACTTATAGCACTTGGGGATCATCCTGTTAAATAACACACAAACAGAGGACAGCTTAAGAATGAACTTGGTGAATGAAAGGAGTCCTTAGAATTTTGAATTAAAAATTTTTAAACACTTATTTGGTGTAGAATAGATATTTTACCAATTTACAGTGAACAAGGTAAACAAGGTTGTTATTGCTGTTGGTTGTAGCTCCAACAGCAATAACTTTTTTTTCATACCCATGGGTGTTTTGCACCCCACATGATAATAATACTATTTTATGAAATAATGATGATGATAATCTGTTCAAATTGTTTACATATGAACTGAAAACAATGTGATAAGAAGATGATTTTTTTTATCAAATGCTCCAGGGTTTTGGCAATGTTGGCCTGCACACCATGAGATATCTGCACAGAGCTGGTGCCATTTGCATAGGTATCATGGAACATGATGGTAGCATCTTCAACCCACAGGGGATAGATCCCAGGGAATTGGAGGACTACAAGATTGTAAGCAGATATACTGCAGTTGAATTTGTTATAGATCATGATTAAGTATACATTTTCTTATACACTAGTCAACATTTGCTAGGGATCATGTCTTTTGCTAATAATATTTTGACAATTATGACTGGTTTGCTTAAGAATACTTAAGAGACCAAATTTCAGTCATTTCAGAGTAGAAGTGAGAAAAAAAAGATCAAATTGAAAAAGAAAATAATCGCCACCAAGAACACTTCAGAAGAGCACTGCCTTAACACGCATTCACTTTAAAAAAACACTTTATGCCAGTAAAATGTCTCATGTCAGCAAGAAATTGGATGCAAAAATTCCCTAGTAGTGTGTATGACCACCATTTGCATGAATCACCTTCTACGCATGCTCTGAATAAAGCGGGATAGCTGCTGTTGGGTGATCTGGTCCCACTCTTCCACCAAAGCATCCTCCAGTTGTCGAATTGTCATGGGAGTGTTTTGTCAAGCTTGAGTGCGGTTCTGGAGCAATCCCAAACATGGTCAATCAGATTGAGGTCTGGTGACCTTGTTGGCCAGTCCATGAGTAATTCCTTCCTGCTCCAAGTACTCTGAAGTGCCGTATAATAGTGCCGGCACGATTATTTTTTTCCGGAAATTTTCCACCTGGCACGATCTTATTTCCCTGGCTTGATATATAATTTTCCCCACATTATCCATACGGCACAGTTATTTGGCAGTCATTGTGCCGGTTGGACATACTGTTGATTGTTAGGGAAATGTTGATGATCGTTTCATTGGACAAGTTAATTTCTATTAATTACCTGTCGCAACTACTATACTCCAACTTGTTTTTTAGCGTAAATAAAAATAGCTCGTCAATGCATGCCGCCTGGAGTCTCTGTCGAGGCTCTGTCGTTACATGTGCGTTGCAAAAAAGTATGTCAACTTGCCACCGATAGTACACTACTAGTACAATTATTCCGCTAGGCATTATTGTACCACCAGCGTTAGCGCTGGCGGTACACATGGTTTCGGTCCCGTCCGGATCGTTCCGCCGGCTCCGCCGGCTCCGCCGGACGGCTACCGTTACCGCTTCTCCTCCTAGACGGTAAGTGCCCCCGTACCCATCTCATGGATTTAGGTCACCTATAATCTCAACTCGTTCCACGTAAAATTTAGGCTTTGTCGGTATTGGGGTCTGGGTGTGGCACTCATTGCAATGCACCCTTGTCTAAAAATGGCAAAATTAAATGCTAATTATCTACCCTACGGAAGGAGTTATGGGAAAAATTTCTATAGAAGGCTTTTTAAAAGTCATATGTGTAGATTTCAAATATACCCTTGGATTTGACCTTTGACCTCTACTTCAAGGTCAAATGGGCCAAATATTTCAAAAAAATGAAATTTTTTACGAAAAAAATTTTTTTTGCCCTGTTATTCAGACACCACACAGACTTAACCAATAATATTATTGGAAAGTGTTACCCTTCAGGTCATCTTTCATCTCCATGAATTTGGGGTCAATCGGTGCATTTTCACGGGAGTAGCGGCCATAAGATACCGAAACTGAAAACTGTCTCTAATTCGGGAACCGTTAATGCTAGAGACCCATTCTTTTTTGCATTTTGTAGAGCATGTAAAGCCCAACACTGGAGGTGGTCTCGGTTTTTTTGTATTCCATACGGTTTTCGAGTTACGCTGTATCAAAAAGTACATATTGGTGGT